AGTTCAGTTTAACCATTTCACTTTCTCTCATAACTGTTCGTTCAATCAGCCATTTCTCAAATCTATGAAATCGTTTCATTTTTTTTAATTGAACTCTCTTAACTCTTCTCGATCCTTTCGTTTTCATGATCAGCACTCAGTGCGTAGTGTCCAACCATTAATTAATTTCATCTCCTGCAGTAAATAACTTATCAAATGACGATTCTTCCATTATTAAACCGTCTCAAGTTCTGGTTCAGAGTCCTGAAGACAATATGCTCTAATTCGTCTATAACATGGATGAGTTGCTTCGAGTTATCATCTTCAGCATTGTACTACGTCGTGCTATTGACGTCATTTAGTGTCGTTTACAGTTATCGCAACGACAAGAGGGTTCAAAAGTCCAAAAAGACGCTACGTAAGCGTTTCCCATTGGGAATATTCAAAGTCAATTAGCTCATCCTGAAAAGGTATCAGATGAATCTGATTGAACACATAAGAATTTTGAAAAGCACAGCCAACCGCCTTTCGCTTTCAATGTAAATTAGATTATAAATTTTGGTTTGTAAAGATCAAAGATTTCCGGGTTCTTCGAATTCATAAATCCTTCATGACCTAGAGGAAAATAGGGTTTCGGATTTCATACTTTCTGCTGCTGACGCTGAATTATATTATTTTCCTCATTTGTTTCTATCATCACTTTGTAACTAAATGAAAGTTGAAAAGCCTATCAGAAAACTCAAAATCTATAATTCGAAAAAGTTTTGGTATGAAGACCGATGCTTGTATAAATACTAGGTAATTCTTTCTTTCCTTTTCTCAGTTTCCCGCTAAGAAACCATTGACCCCAAACGCGTTAGGCCAAGTTCGAATTGCGATGGAGTGAGAATGAGCGTCCGTGAGCAGTACTGCAGAGGAATGCGAAAAACTGCCAACATGACGTCCTTCCATTAACTGTCATGTTTTCTATTATTTTCTCTTGAACGCGGAGCATTCTATCAATTTTTTCCTACTTTTTCTCCAACTTACCGCATATTTTTTCAGATTGCTCCTGGCTCTTTCAAAATAATATATTTTACCAACATGCCTCCACGTTACTATTCTGTAAGTTCCCCTTTAATCTTAAATTTTGTATGTTTACTATATGTTTAATAAACATTTCATTTCAGAGACAAGCTGCTTCGATAGATAGTGTATTTTTGAGATTTTGTAAAGACTTCAAAGAAAAGTAAGTATATTATTTTTATTTCTATTCGGTTTTTTATTCATTTTATTTGTTCTAGATACATCAATAGCGATCGTGACAAGCGAGCTGTCTTAGACGAAACCATTTTAAATTATGTAGAAGAGCTTGACGATCTCCTCCACCGTGATGCAAGTATGCGAGATATTTGATTCTCCTTTGAAAATCTTAGAACTTTTCCTATACTTATTTGAAATATTATATTTTAGTCCGTGGTCAGCGTGATCCGAGGACACGGGAACCTGAAGTGAACATCGTATGTTATTTTCCTTATACTCCTTCACATTTCATCGAAGATTTCATTTCTTTTATTTTTCATTAATATGCTACACAATGTCAAAATCATTGAAAAAACAGAAAATTGTTACAGGATTCAGCAACAGGAAAGATCTTGAAGAGAATGAAACGGCAGATGAAGGCTATTTGTATTCTCGCTGACATGGTTCATGATGGTATGTTTCAAAGTTTTTCAGAATCTTTTTCAGAATTATTTCTATAGATATTGTGTAACAACTTTCTTTTTAAGGTCCTCCGGCCAATGAAAGTGAAGATACGCTGATATCGAGAGCAGCTCAGATGCTCCATGATATATACAAATTAATCATACCACCGTCGTCAATTTCTGCTGTTGGCCCCTCCTAATTAGCCACGGCCTTCTCTATCTTTCTCTCTATGTGAACAGTTTCATATGCTAAAGTTGGTATTGTATGATTAAAATTATATTTCAACATTTATAGAAACGAGCACAAAATGTCAGAAGACCTGTCGGTTTGAGAAAGAAGAGGTCACGATCAGAAGATTTGCGCACTACTTTATCAACTCAGATTTAACTTTCGCTTTTATTTTATGTTAAT